GGAGCACGGTTAAGGTGAGGTGGGCTTTTCTCAACTCAGCTCAGAGGTTTCTAGGCAAACCCTTCACTGGGCCACAGGATTCTCAATGAGTTTCAGCACAGTGTGTATCTTATGCCTTCCTCTTTCTTGGCTCTCACTCACATTTCAGAAGACTGCTTCCCTAAGTGCCTCTTTCAGAACAGGGGTATGAGCCAGGTGTGGTGGTGCACACCTGTAATCCCACAACGTGGGAGGCTGAGGCATGGGGATTCTGTGAGTTTGAGGCCAGCCTGGGCTACAGGATGAATTCAAGGCTGGCCTGAACTGTATAGCAAAACCCTGCCTCAAAAAATAAAAAAAAGAAAAGAAAACAAGAACAGGTGCATGAGTATAAACTTTTCATCCTCACATGTCTGCAAATGCATTTCGAAGTCACTTTTGATTCCCAGTGGAGATGGCTGTGGCGTGTGTGGTCTGGATCTTTATCTTCTGTAACTACCTCCTGCTGAAGATCTTTAGCTCTTTCTTTCTGCTCTGTAATGATCCGGTCATGAATCCACGTGTGTCTTTTTCAATTCAGTGTCCCAGTGACTTGATAGGTCTTTCAACCTGAAGATGTTTTTCTCCTGAAACCAGAACAGTTTCCTGCATTATTCCTCTGAGAATGCTGTCTTCTATACTGTTCCCCTGGGGATGCTGGTGACAGAGCAGACCTCCTGAACTGACCCATGTCTCTCATCTTTCACCCAGATTTCCAGTTCTTTGGAAATCTGTGCTCAGGGAGGTTTTCTTTCTCTGTATGTGATGTGTATAACATATATTTATGCAACTTTACAAATTATATATTTAATTATAAGAGAATTCTTCTTTGTGCTTTGTACTGTTGCCTTGAGTGACAGCCCCAGATCTTCTTTTAATTCCTTATACTGGGTCTTCTCAAGCCACTGAGCTGCCCAGGCTGCAGTCAAACTGTGTTTGTCCTGTGTCCACCCCCAGAGCACTATGATTACGGGGGCCACTACGCCTAGCTAGTGTTTAAGACATTTTTGTTGTTCTCTGATTTCTCATGCAGCCGACGTCTTTGTGACTTTTTGATGTTACTCATAGGAGTCTATTATTTTTTTCTATTTTCTAAGTCTTCTACTAAAGCAGGTCTGCTTGTCAGTATCTTTCTCCTGGAGCTGGTGTTTTTAGCTGCATTCATTTTCAATGCAGTGACTTTATGCGTGCTGATATTTGGGAATAAGAGGCTGGGTTCCTTCATTTTCCTGGCACTGTTCTCTTGGTCGTGCCCCACAAAGCTCCCCTAACCCCATCAGGAGACCAGCTGAGATTTGTGTAGTCTGTGTGAGGATGGGAGGAAGGATGGAGGGCACGGATTCGGCGTCCTGGGTGCAGACGGATTAGACTGTAGCTTGAGAAGACGCAAGGGGCCTGGATTTTAGGCTGAGTACTTGGGTCACCATGATTCTCCCAAACCTTACTTCTCCCTGGCCTGTTGAGTGTGTGTTCAGGTAGTATGCTCAGCATCTTTGGAGGGACGCTGCCTGACCTCCTCCCTGAAAGAAAAGGGGCGGTCTGGCTAGAGGCACAGGGGCAGAGGGGGCTTTGCCTCAGTTTCTGCAGCTGCTCCCCTCCTGCAGCCCCGTGGGTTAGCACCCTGTGGGTTAGCTCTCATGGGTTAGCTCCTTAGGGTTATCTCCCTGTGGGTTAGCTTCAAGCTCCCGCTGCATGGCCCCCTCTTGCTCCTCCAGCGATCTCCCACCTCCCTTGCCAGCCACTGCTGCATCCTTCTATTCCTGCTCTGTTTCACAGGTTTGTTCCTCTATCCTCAGCCTCCTGGGCTTAGAAAGGTAGGCTACAGGGAGTACCTGTGCTCTTCCTTGATAAGAAGCATCAGTGCTCCACTCATCTCTAGTTATTTTCTCTGAAAGTTTTAAAAATCAAGCAAAGTTAAAGAAATAAAAATGCTTTAGCATCTTCCTCTCTCAATGATCAGTAAGGAAATTTCCTTGCTTCTCTCCAACCCTGTGAGAGTCCAGGGCTAATGCTTTTCGTCCCAAGGAGCGTGGAGCTGCTGTGTCCCCAGCCTCTCTGGTGTGGCTCTGGAAGGACTGTGATTGGTGATCAACTTTCAGGAATTTCCTTCTTTGGTCACCATGATCAGTGCTCTCTGCCTCTCTGTCCATCTTTGTCTCTGTCTGTCTCTGTCTCTCTGTGTGTGTCTCTCTCTCCATTCTTTATTGTCAGAAATAGACTTGGTGACTCTTGGGCACCCGTAGGCATGGTGGAGCCTTGAACCCACCAAAGTCCCTCAGAACCTTGAAACTAGAAAAGGAAGGGCAGCCAGGAACTGAAGGAAGGGGCTGGAAGCCAAACAGAGAGGAGCCAGAGAGATTCCTCCTCCCCTGGATGAGGCTGTCAGGCAAGCCAAGGGAGTAAGCAGGGAGGGCCCATGCCAGGTGGAGATTTGGTTTATGTGGAGCTCACCATATGGGTGGGAAGTGAGCGCCCACAAGGAACAGGGGACAACAGGAAGTGTGTGGGCAACAGGAATGCAAGGTCCCTAGCACTGTAACCAGGGAGGGGGGCAGCTCCTGGCCCAACTGGTGCATCTGAAAAGACCTCGCAGGGCATGGTGGTGCACAGGCGTGAGCCCAGCACTCAGGAGGCAGGACAGGAGGATCGCTGTGAGTTTGAGGCCAGCCTGGGATCCATAGTGAGTTCAAGGTCAGCGAGGACTGTATAATGAAAACCTGTCTCAAAAACAAAACCAAAACAACAACAACAAAATCAAAGAATCTTAATTGCACCTTAACTCTAAATCTGGGGAGGCTTGGGCAGGTCTACATCCACCTCGCTCGGGGTGGGTTCAGATGAAAGCCCGTGGGTATGGAGGGCCTCCCAGTCCATCCAGCAGAAGTGGGCAGAGCAGGCAAAGGGCAGTAGCTCTGTGCTGGTCCCACAAAGCCCGAGTTTAAGTCTTCTGGCTGTGCCCATCCTAGTGTTGATACTGCAGGAGGACAGATGACATCACTGTGTCATTGACTACAAAGTGCTTGCTAGTGACCAGTCTGCACTGTTCCTGACTGCCTTAAAGGCCACACCACCTGTGCTCCTAAGATGACACAAGTCCCACATCTTGTAGCCAAGCACGCATCTGCCTCCCACCCCCGGCCAGCCAGTGCATCTGCCCTCTCCTGCTCCTTCTGCATTTATCCACCAAACACTCAGAAGGGCTTGCAGAGCTGCCCCTCCCTACCCACCTGTGCACTTCTCCCCAAGTCCCAGCCCCTGCACAGCCAGCAGGAGACTCTGCTAACCTCACGCTCTGCTGGAAATCTTTCAGGGACACTGTGACCTCCAGGGTAAAGTGAAATTGCTCAGAATTCTCAGAAAGCAGCAACCACACCAGCAACGACCTGAGCACTTTTCAGTCAACGGGCTGTGCTCACCTCCAGGTGTAAATTCATCACTGACTTCCAGCGTTGGCCTGTGTGTGCTTGCTGCAGGACCCTGATGGCCTCTCTACTGAGAGATGAACTCTTTTCATCATTTTTACATTCTTTCTCAGTCTCTAAGGCATCCTTGTTCCCAAAAACGCAGCCCTTCTGGATGTCTGGTGCTCCATTTCTTTCCACTGAGCTTATGTCTTTTGCCTGTGGGATTTCAGTCCCTTGTTTGCAGACTTTCCCCCAAATGATTAAAAATACCATAAGCAGCCCTAAGACCACGCTGATAAGCCTGTCAAGCTGGCTGCTCCGATCCAAGCTCGTGAACAGGTCAGAGACAGCTCTGTCCCAGGCTGCAGCCTGCCCTGTGTGATGGTTTGTGTCACCTCAGAAGGCCTGTGCTTGCCCTCTCTCTGTGTAGGCAGCGTCGGGAGAGGCCACCACCCTGGAAACCTACGGCCTGGTCCGGAAGGGCTGCCACGCTGCGATGCAGCAGGCCTGGGGCACGTCCTGGTGCCTGCTGCCCAGCGCTCAGCTAGTGACTGGCTGGGCTCTGCTGCCGAAGCAGCCCTGTCCCTGCGTCCCCTCTCAGGTGTCTGGAACCCCGGGCACAAAGAGGGAGCTGGGACGTACGCCGTTCAGGTTCCGTTCAGGGACCCTCTGGCTTGTGGTGGTCCCGTCGCGGTCATCCCTGCTAGGAGCCGGTGAGGGGAAGCCCTGTCCGGGAGCCACCCGAGCTCCCGCTCAGCGCGCGGGGGACCCGTAGACGGTCCTTGTCGGTGCCGCGCGCTGCTCACCACGGAGGGACACAGAGGTCCTGGCGCCCCCGTGACGTCCCCCCCAGAGCGCGCAGGTCTGGGTCATGCTATGGAGACCCATCTCCCGCTCCTGCCTGGGTGCAGGGCGTGCCCTGGACTCTAACAACCGGCTCTTGGCTGCAGGCTCGCTGCGCCACTGTGACTGTTTACCGACCCTGTGGTCGAAGGCACCTTCTGCCGCGAAACGCGTCCGTCTGCCCGCCCGAGCTCCCGGCCACCAGGCGGCGCCGGAGCACGCGATCCATACCTCCCGGGCCCCAGCCGCGTCCTCCTCCCCATCTAGGCATCTGGACCTGGGGCCTCTCTAGTGCGTGCGCTCCCTGGAGAGACAGAGCCCATCCCAGGCCAGGGGCAGCTGTGCAAAGCCCACAAGTGCAGGGCTGGGACCCGTGGTCCCAGGGTAGGTGCGGGCTCGGATTTCTGGGAGCCCCAGGCGGGGTGCAGAGGGAGGCTTGGGGGCCCTGACTGCTGAAGACCAGAGGACATCACCCAGTATTATTGGAGAGGCAAGGAGCAAGGCGGGCAGCGCCCACGGGGCCGAGGGCTGTGCTTTCCGGGGCTCAGTCTCCGGGACTGGACAGGTGAAATGGCCTGCGCAGGCGCAGCTGATAGCGACCAGCCCTTTGCAGAGAGCTTCCCCAATTCGCAGAGAATTTGCTGGTCAGCGCCCCAGGTCCAGTGGACTCTAGACAGGTGCTGCTCTTCCCTCCACCTGGGGATGTGCTCAGCCTGCTTTGTGCTTTCTCCGCAGATCCGGACGAAGGACAGGGTCTTCGATAGCATCAGCCACCTCATCGGCCACCACCTGGAGAGCCGCCTGCCCATCGTCTCGGCGGGGAGCGAGCTCTGCCTGCAGCAGCCGGTGGAGAGGAAGCAGTGAGCCAGTGCAGTGCGGCCTTCCCGACCCCGGGAGCCAGGTCAGGGCCTGGAGTCCTCCATCTCGGGCCGCAGGACCTGGGGTAGCTGCTCCCAGGTCAGCGCCTTCTCCAGAGGCCCCCGGGGAGGCTGCCATCAAATTCAAGTTTCATAAACTTGCTCCAATCCCCCATATGCATACAAAGGTGTACATACCTATACATCCTGTACAAATTATCCCGCTATATTTATATTTTTTAAGACCAAGAAAGATGTAAGACTCATGTTCCATGCTGTATGTTTTTAATGGAGACAAAAAAGTGTGACCCTAGTTGTCCAGGCAAAAACTGAGCTCAACTGACCTATCCCGAGGGGACATTTTATTACCATGCAGCCCATGTCTTACCTGAGAAGCACAACATCGGGGAAGAGGCAAGGAAGAGGGGACAGTTAACGGGATGGTGACAGAACCTGAGGTCTGCGGCCCAGATGACACCTCCCCCTGCACGGCCAGTGCTGGGATGCGGCTCTGCAGACTGACGGAGCCACCTCCCGTCCTATGTTGAGGGTGCCCCCTCGTGCCCCGGCGCAGTCCCCTCCTCTGGCAGCCTTGTGACAGAACAGGTGGCGCTGCAGCTTCCCTGGGTCCTGCTGAGCACGGGGCACCTATCACTCGCAGGACCCCAGTTGCTTAGGGGTCACTGGGGTTGCTTCTGAGGCCAAAGTGGGCACAGTGGAAGCGTTGACCATCGAGACCTTGGTCACCTACATGAGGATGGGTGGACATCCGAGGAAAGCATCTGGGCAGTCCTGGGTGTGTGTCTTTGTAGCTGGAGGTTAGTCTTAGGTGGCTTGTGGTCACTGTGGGTCAAGCTGGCCCCAGTCCGTCTACTCCATGAATTCAGGAAAAAGCCCACATAGGGGCTGTAAAGGTGGAGCAGGTGCGCTTCCAGACTCAGACTGGACCCACTGCTGGGTGTGCGCACATGTGCGAGTATGTGTATTCAGGATGAGGCCCTGAGCGTCATGCCTTGGAGCCCTGGGACAAGGCCCTGAGTGTCCCTGCGCAGCTTCCCGGTATCGCCATGGATAGCTGACCTCGTGGTCCACTCTGCTCCTGTTTCCAGATCAGACACTGGTATTACCCGATATTGTTGGGAGGTGGTGGTGGCTACGACTTTTTTAACATCTGTAGGCCTGTCTTTACAGACACTGCATTTTATACTGCAGCTGCAGGGCGCATCCATTGGTTGGCATCTGGTCTCTGTGAGTCCTGCAGCACAGGCAGCTGCGGCTCGTAGAACAGACACTGCACACAGGAGCTGCAGGCATAAGGCGGAGGCTTTGTTCAGATCTGGCGAGATGCGACTCTGCTAGCTGCTCTCGGCAGGCATGTGCACTCGGTTCCTGCCTTGGAATGTGGGCCAGACAGGAGGACCCAGGGCTGCTGATGAATGAGGACAGGTGCGGCAGGCCCTACACCTCTTTGGAGTTTTTGCCCTTTAGGGTTCCACTGAATCCACACTGATGGTGGCGAGTCTTCTAGAATGTTCTGTGGGAGGTATAGCCCACCCTGTGCTTCCCAAATGGTGCTTGAGCAGAGACCCTGGGAGCAGCTGGCCAGGCTCCTGCCCTGTGTTAGCACCCAGGGCGGTGGAGAGTTTGCCGTGCTTTGCTTCCCCACAGAGAGCATGATCTGCGGTTACGATAGCTCCCTCCTCTGAAGGCAGTATCGAGCAGGAAGGCAATGTGTGTATTAAATACACTGCTGAGACTCAATTTAGAAAAGTACAGGTGCAGAAGTCATTTCTTCCTTTCAACATGTATGTAGCTTTGACCTCAGATGCTAAGGTCGGTTACGCCAAGGTAGCACCAAGTGAAAAAGGCTAGTTTTCCTCTCTAGCTATCAGAGAGGATTTCCAGTGGAAATCCTTAGAGGATCCTTAGAGGATTTCCATCGTCTAAGTTTGGTTCCCTTAGATTTTTTTTCCTGGTACTTGGATTGAGCCCAGGGCTTTCTCACTGAGTTATACTCCAGACCTTTTTTATTTTTTTTATTTGGAGACAGGGTCTTCCTATGCCTCTGAGTTGCCCAGGCTGAACTCAAACTTGCAATCCTCCTGCCTCAGCCTCCCGAATGCTGGGATTACAGGTGTGTGGCACTGTGCCCGGTTTCCCTTTTATTTTTAAAATGTGCTGGTACGCAATGAGTTATCTCTTATTTAAAGCACCACGCGGTGGGGTGCTTCTGTGAACCTCACACACAGTGGGGAAACTGAGGCTGGCTCCAGGTCATGCAGTCAGTTGGCAGCAGAACTCTTGTGCTCACTGAGCACTTCCTGAGCTCTTCCTAGTGTGCCGGTCGGGGTTGAGAGGCAAACCCAACAGGGGCCTCCCCCTACCCAGCCTGGGACCCGCTGCCCTCTGCTCTCATGCTGCATCTCTGCTGGGCAGGGGTGAGGCTGCCACTCAGCACACCTGGGCAGGGCCATGCTGTGTGCTGCATTCAGGCACAGTAGCAGTGTGCCCTCCTGGCTCACCCTGAGCCCTGGAGTGTGCCTCGGCCCCGCTGCTCTCTCCGGGCACCACCACTGTACCCTGCAGCAATGAAAGGAGGGTCCCCAGTCTTAACACAGTGCATTCTGTCACGGTGGCCCTGGAGACCTCCGCTCCCTCTATCTTCCTGGGTGAGAGAGCCTCAAACATACCTTTGCCCTGCGTGGCCAGAGGGCTCTCTGTGGGTGCTCGCTGTGCTCAGTGATTCCTGACCACTAGGCCCCCCAAACAGCTCCCTGCAGAGTCAGGTGAGCAGTCTGATAAGCAGCAGGCCCAGGACTCAGTCTTAAACCTACTCCTGCACTGCCGCAGGCCTTTGTCCAGGTGAAGGACGGAGTGCTGCTTAGCCTTGGGGAGCGGCCTCTCTGTTTGAAGCTGCCTTGGCTTTAAGCAGAGGTAGGTGGACCGAGGCCCAGCTGAGCCGTGGACAGATCCCCGGGGCTGAGGGAAGATTGGACAGCTGTGAGTAAAGGCAGAGGGTGGCAAGCAATGAGAGGAGGAAGGAAGGACAGATCCAGGACAAGTGGACCCACATGCATCCAGGCACTCAGGGTCGTAGCTGACCTATGTCCAGACTCCTTACCCATCCGGTGGACAGAGATGTCCCCAGCTCCCAAGAGGAAGCTCTTCTTCCTGTTTTATCAGGCACTCAGGCAGTTCCCACCCCCATTTCCTGGGCACCAGTCCCACCTTCCCTTCCTGTTGGGCTGAGCCGAGCAGAAGCTGGACCACAGTTCCTCCGGGAATAGCCAGCAGCACAGGACGCCCTGTCCAGCCTCAGGTCCACACACCCAGAGTGAAATGGCCTCAGACTACTGGCTGGATTTCCATGCGCTATGGATGCATGCAGTTCCCACCACAAGGAGAGCTCTGTATTCACAAAGCATGCCTCCTCTTCCTCCCTGACTGGCCCAAGGCTGTTTGCCACCCATTAGACCTCTTCTGTGGATGGTGGCATGGCTAGGTTAAATGTGGACAGGAGGGTTGTAGGAAGATTGCAAAGCAGATCATTGCACCCAGGCAAAGTTTTGCAGGGGGTTTCCGAATTAACACTCTGGTTCTTGGGGAAGAGTGTTTTCTGAGAACGTAAAGCTGTTGACTCCCAGTCCTGGAGTATAGACAGAATTGTCAGCTTCGGACAAGACAGCAAGGAAGGGAATGTTGCAGCCAGGTGGTCCCCTTTCTCACATATGAAACTAGAGCCGGCTGACCTGGCAGAGGAAAGATGAGGATGTGGTCCCTGGTGTGACACAGGAAGGCATGATCATCATGGTTTCTCTCAGGTTTTACCTTCATGCCCCACTTGAAAAGGCTTAAAGTCCTGAGTCACTCAGCTGGGAGAGGTGGGCACCTGGAGAAGCCGACCCTGAAGAAGATCTCACCATGTGTGTGTGTGTGGGGGGGTGATGAACCCAAGAAAGGGGAAAGGAAGTGACCACAAAGGGTGGCAAGGTCAAGCGGCTTTGCAAGACACAGATACTAGGGCTGCATGCTGCTAGGGGTCCCCAGGAGACCATGCAGGACACATCTCAGTGGCCACCCAGAGGAGAGGGCAAAAAGTTTACCCAAGGCCACCTCTGGTGGGAGGCTATTTCTAAGATATCTTGGCCGCCCCTGTGGCCACCCCTGTGGCCAACCCCACTGCACACACTGTGCCAGCTGGGAGGTCCTTGGACAATGGCAGGTGTTCATTCTCGGTAAACAGACCTGAGAGTCAGGTGACCTGAGCTCCTGGGTGACCTGAGCTCCTGGCCGGTGGGTCTGCAAGGAGACTTTGCCTCTCAAATGCATTGCCCAGCTACTACCAGTCATGAGTCCTGACTTTGAGAAGCCTCTTCATGATGGCTTCACCCCTGTGTTTAAAGATTAAGTTTTTAGGCCACTTCATGTCATAGCTCCCGGGGTCCACACTGGGAATTTAGAAACCGAGGATTAATAAGACTTCCAACTCCATGCAACTGTTGCTAGCAGATAAAATGCCATCTGCCAGCCACAATTTATTTATAATGGGGTTTATACATATTTATAAGTTTGAAAGCAACAAATGCACAGTTTTAAAAATGACACATTTTATATAACAACCAGAAAAATTGCACCTTTATACAGGACTGGTGAATGTGAACTGCACTTGTATCTACACACATACATGTACCCACACTGATAAAACCGATCTGTTTGTGGGCTGCTCCCCCCACTCCTCCCTGGACTTTGCAACATACAAAGACAACTGGACAAGCAAGCAGTCCTCAAGGGTTTGGGTTGACAGGCACAGGCAGGTGCTTCCACATGGAGGGGGTTCTGGAAGCTGCAGGATCTGGGACCCATAGGAACAGGACACAGGGACAGCAGGGGCACCCACTAGGGGCCATGACAGAGAGTCAAGGGAAACAGAAGGCAGAGACAGGAGACAAGAAGGAGGAAAGGAAAAACAAGTACAGACTCAGATCTTATTTACCCCACCAAGGGCAGCTCCATGGGATAGCCTGCACCGCGAAGGGGGCTGCAGTGTGGCTCCCCGAATGAGCAGTGCGCGGGGTGCAGGGCCTGGGCCCTTCTAACCAGCCTTCTGGGCCTTCTGCGTGAATCTGTCCATGTGCAGCAGAATCTGGCCTGGGCTGCTGGGCTGGTGAATGTCCAGGTGTGTAATCCAGCAGGAGGTCAGCAGGCATGCGCACACACATGTTGGCGTGTGACAAGCCTTGCAGTGCTGATACGTCCCAGGTCAACAGGACCAGAAAGAACAGGGCACACAGGTCTGTCCAGGGCCTCTGGGTGGGCTTTGTGCCACAGGGCATCGTGTGGAAGGTTGGAAGGGGCAGGTGGGGGCGCGGCAGGCTCAGGACCTACCTACTACAGCTGAGTCCACCCTTCTTCCTCCTACTGGCCAGCTCAGATGCTCCGAGCAGGTGAGCTCAAGTACCTGACTGCACAGGCTTGTTCCCCAGGGCTGAAGAAACGTTCTTGCAGCAGAAAGCATGAGAAATAAAGATCACACAGTTTTAAGAATCTGAGATTTCCACATCTACAGTTGCAGATGTGGAAAGAGCACCGGGGAGAGACCCTGACGCTTAGAGCTGCTGCAGGAGTGAATTCACACCCAGGCAGACATTCTCACCAGGACCAGAGTTTCTGACCACTCAGTTAGCAGAGCAGAAGGGGACAGGCAAATTCAACTTCCAGCCCTGAGTGTTTCTTTGTGACAATTACGTGTGTGTTGCCAGTGGAATGTTCTCTGCTCATTTGACTTCTGAATACAGCTTGTTCCAGAATATTGTGAAATTAAGTATGTGAATGTTCCTTTGTATTCAAAATTAAACATCTGGCTTGGAAATTCCCTGGTTAGGAGATGACTCTATGTAAATTTTGTGTGTACTAATGAGGTATTTATTACTTTTTAAAAAGCATTTGGCTGGCAAAATCGGTAAATACTGGTAAATTAGTATTATTTGAAAATTTTGTTTTGTTTCCATTAACGTTTGTGAAGTGAAACAAATGTTGTGCTGGTCTGTGTCTGACAGTGGGACCAACTCACACCTTTCTACTTTGACACTGGAGTGGACTTGGCTTCCTGGACACCCCGAGGAGTGGAAATATGAAATTCACAAGTTTTCTTTAATGTTTGTACTATGAGGAATGATAAATCCTGAGATTTTGCCCAGCATTCTGGAGATGAGACAATATACCAGGCCAAGATATTTGGCTTAAATTCCCTCCTCACCTTCAGCGAATCCATTTCCCTCCTTCAGGAAATGACGAGATTTTACTTACGAGCCCTTCCCTGGCCTCCAGGGCACCCTGCGCTCTGGGAATTGCCGGGTGAAGGTGCCACACAGCACCCCGAGTGTCATCACTCCGCCTCAGCAGTGCAAGATGACACGCCTACCTTAGGTAATGCTGCACTTCTCATGAACACTGGCTGTGGACAATGTGCCTTTCTCATCAGAACAGTGGATGTGCATTTCGGATTGCATAGCAACCTCTCTGGATGTTTGACTTAGACACTAAATACACTTGGGTGTTGAGGTTTTGCACTGTAGGTACAATTTACAAGCATGGAACCGGCACTGTACTTAGACATTTTCTATAAAACACACCTTGTTACAGCTCTGTGAAAGGCTTTGTACCAGCGCAGAATAACTATGGCTCAAGAGTTGGGAGGAATGATCATTTTTTGAACAGTTAATTGTTTCAATGGCTCTATGTGTATGTCTGCTGGCAATAAAGGCTACTGTGAAAAGTCTCTTTCGTTTGGAGGATGGGTCTCCTACGCCTCCCCAAAAGAAGCAGGACGGTTTGAATCTTTTCTCTCGGAAATGGGCATCTTAGTTATTTCCCAGAGGAATGAAAAGGGGGTGAGGGTGGACCCTGTGTTAGTGTCGTGATTTAGTGGGCCAGACACGGTTGGAGAGAGGAGTGGGAAAGCTGCAGTTCTTGGTGGCGCCAGGGCAACAGTGTCCCCACCAGCACATCTATGTCAATCAAACACAAGAAGCTAAGACATATCGTTTCTAAGGGGTAAAAGTTAACACGAGGGGCTGGTCGGATGCGTCCTCCTCCATGTAAATAATAGCAGGTGAGGTGGGACCACTGCCGGGCTGACCTTCCACAATTTCCTCCCTAACAAAGGAGCTGTCACCCACCCTAGCAAACTGAGGACTACCGAAATTGATGGGAATGGCACCAATGACCAAGGCATCACTAAAACATGACTTGGGACAGTGGAAAGTGTCAGGTAAAAGAGAGATTTGAGTTTTAAATGTGGTGTATTCCCAATATGCTGAGAAGCACATATGCCAGGTAAGAGGCAAGTTTGCCAAGGGGTGGCTCCAGGAAACACAAGAAAGCCATCCCATCCCACCCTAGAGACTCTCAAGAACTGGTTTATATAACAGCTTTTGGTTTTATTTCTTAAACAAACATACATTGGAATTATTTTAACAAACACATTGAAAAAAGTAAAAGCTACCAACTACCGTGAGATTGAACACATAGGTTCTCTGTGGCATATAAGATCACTGGACTCCAACCTTCCCAGTGAGGGCTCAGACAGTGGGACTTCCAAATGACCTCGAGCTGGCTAGTGAGGAGCGTGGGTGCAAACAGTGTCGGGGTGACTGGGTTTTGCCTATAGAAATGATCACAATTGCTTCCTTCGTGTATTTTAAATTCAGATTGCTTAAAAGCTTTGTGTTATCTCCAAGGAGCCTCAGTGACCTGCTGCTCACATGGGTGCCTCCCGGCAGGAGCAGAGGAAGTAGCCCCTAGAAGGGTTTGTGAGTGGAAACCCACATAGAGGCGCTGGAGAAGTCCTGATGATAGGGCAAGGCATGATCAGAATGAGTGACACAGAGAGCTGAGGCTCCCAAAGCAACTCAAAACCTTTTAAATCACCTCATTTCCTAGGTGACAGTGCATGCGGCCTCCCTCATACACTTGGGGATTTTTTTTCCTAGAAATGCCTTGGGTCTTCCCATGCTATTGGCTGAGAGATTGCACAACTTTTCAGTGACCTGCAGAATGCAAACACACACGTCCCTGAGGAACATCTCCTACCAGTAGGTTCTATCTCATCAGGAACGAAACTGAGGAAAGTCTTTGGTGAGCATGTGGAGGTCACCCAGGACTCAGGACCAGCAGCTTACACTGGATACATCAAGGGACCGCTTTGTCCTAGCAAAAGTCACCCCTGGTTTAGGACTGTTCTTTTAGGTATTAATAAGGCAAAATTCTCACCCAACCTAAACACTTTGGGGTGCTCTGGGGTGAGGTTCACCCTTTTGAAGGTTGCTTTTGTTGTTTTTACAAAGCACTCAGCCCAGTGTGAGATGTATGCTAACTCCACATTTGGGTTCGCTCTCCACCTGTGTACTTCACATGAAACGCTTGAAAGGAGTGGGACAGAGAGGTCCTCTGAGCAACTTCACAGGGGCGACAGTGAGAGATGGGTTCAGCTTATGTTGCCGCAGGGGTGTCACCACAGTACATCTCTTGGAAGAGCTCATACACCAACCGCCAGGCCACGCTGACCTGACAGTTGGGCTGCTCCTACCAGCCATCAGGATCGAGACCTTCTCTCCAGATGCTGGAGAGTTTGCTGATGGCCCCACGCACTGAGCGATGACAGTGTGAGTGGCCACTGACTCTGTGCTCTTCTGGTAAGAACCAAACTAGACAAACAACCAAAGAGCTGTCTTGTAAACCTCTTGCCCCAGTGGAAACTCCACTGCATTCAGCAGATCGGGCTCCCAACAACTCAGAGAGGGGAATCCTTGCCTCATACTCATAGGCACTTTCTGTGCCTATGAGTGGTTGGTGGCAGGACACACAGGCCCCGGGAGGACGTGGCTGGCACAGTCATGTGATCTGCCTTCCGGATGCACTTAAAGGATGAGAGACACACTATAGGAGGGACACTCTAGGGATGGCTGGGCCTGACCACACGCCTGGGATTTACAAACATGCTTTCCAGAAGACCTCCAATAGGTCCGAGGAGCTAGGGCGCCTGTCCTCGGACCTGGTACCGCAGTTTGAACACATTTACAGGACCATGTATGTAACCATGTGGGGTGCTGGGACTGTAGGCACCAAATGGCAAATCTGTAGAACATGAGTCCCATGAGACACAGGAGCCCAGGAATATACAATTCCTGCGTACAGTCAGTGTAGTGTGAAGTCATCGTAATGAAGCCCAGAGGCCCACAGTGGCACACTGAGCACTGTGTGGCCTGTGACCTCCCCTTCTGTGAACCACAGAAAGTATACCCAAGACCCAAAGGAAGGCAGCAGGTGAGGCGAGCAGCTCAGTACCTTCAGAGGACTCAGAAAATGGACAGGGCACGCTGTCCACGTTGAAATGGGCTGACAGTTTCTTAGGTCCTCTCCTCAGGGGACATCCACACCAAGCAGGCTGTCAGGCAGTGGCAAGTAGATGTCCCGAGTCATGGCTCCCGGAAGCGCCACACGGAATCTAGACAGGCATGCAATAAATAAGAGCGTGGCCGCAGGGCTCGCCATGGAGGGGTTCACTTGCAGAGCACCCCGTTCTGAAGAATTCTGCTCCTGTCAGGGATGCAGGGTGAGGTGGCCGTGGGGGGCAGGTCTTCCTTGATCTTTGGGGAGTGGCTGCTGTTGCTGCTGCTCGATTTGCTCCTGCTCTGGTCCAGAGCAGGCTGCATGGGTGAAGCGTGAGCCCCCTTGCCCCTGAGCAGGCAGTTGCAAACCAGGCGGAAGAAGGCACGCCGCATCTCCTTGCTGGCCAGCGTATAGATGACAGGGTTCATGGCGGAGTTGAGCACGGCCAGCATGATGAACCAGCGGTCCTGGAAGAGGACAGCGCACTCCCGGACCCCGCAAGCCACATCAATGAGGAAGAGGATGAAAAGAGGGGACCAGCAGGCGATGAACACGCTTACCACGATCACCACCGTCCGCAGCAGGGCCATGGACCGCTCCGAGTTGTGGCTGGCCACCTTGCGGCTGCTGGACTTGACCAGGAAATAGATGCGCGCATACAGGATCACAATGGTCACCAGGATGGCGATGAAGATGCTGATGCAGAAGGCAATGTACTTCTTGGAGTACAGGGGCAAGATGGTAGAGCAGTCGGGCAGGTTCTGCAGGCAGTTCCAGCCCAGGATGGGCAAGGCACCCAGCGAGAAGGCGATGAGCCAGCACATGCCAATCAGAAGGAAGACCCGGTGCTTCTTGTTGGCATCATAGGGCCTCATCTTGATCATGGTCAGGTGGCGCTCGATGGCGATGGCCAGCAGACTGCAGGTGGATGCCCCCAGGGCCACGAACATGCTGCCCTCCCTGACGAACCAGACGGTGAGCGACAGGCTGAAGGTCTTCGGACCTGACATGAGGATGTTGACCTTGTACAGCACACCGGCCAGCAGGTCACACAGGGCTAGGTTGCCAATGAAGAAGTACATGCGGTTATGAAACTTATTGTTCTTCCAAATGGCAATCAGAACCATCAGGTTCTCCAGGACGATGCAGCTGCACAGCACCAGGAAGAGCGCGGTGGTGAGCATGCCGCCCTCCGAGGGGTCCCTCAGCCTGTCTGCCAGCTTTCCCACGTAGCTGTAATGCTTCTGCAGTGTCTCATTGGCCAAGGCCGGCTGGGTGAGTGCGAAGGGCGGGATGCTGGCTGCCATGGACGCGGACACCGACAGTTAGCTCCTCAAGGCACCAGAGGGCGCCAGGGGAACGCTCATGTCAAGGCTGGAGCGGCACTGTGGCTGTGGCTCCTGGGAGGCACAGGCCTGACTCCAGGACCAGACTGGGAGCGGGCTCCTGTAAAGAGAAGGGAGAGGGCCAAGTGGGTTACAGCCGGCCACCGAGCCATCAGAGTTCGCCCAGGAGGTCAGGGCTCCAGAGGATTCTTTAAACCCAAGCCACGTCTGCAAGCAGTGGAAACTGGCGGAGTTATATGGGGTCTGGAGTTCATTCCCAAGAGAAGGAAACTTAGAGCATGAATCATGCAGTCATGGAAGCAAGACCCACCAGACCCAAATAAAGCCTCCACTTGCAAATCTCCAGGCACCAGGCAGTGGCAGCCAGCTAGGCCTCGTGTACTGCACAGGAGCTGGTAAATCATTACGCTTTACCCAGAAGAAAAACACAGTTTTCTCAGGGAAAAAAGCCAACACACAGAGTGCAATCAAGGAACATGCCTGGCAGACTTGCGTGACCTCCCTGCTGCGTTGGGAGTGACATTGTGGGAAGAGCCCCCTACACTTAGGGCTCACTAGCATCTGAGGGCCTTGCCCACCTCTGAGCTCCTGCCTATGGAGGAAGCCAGGCCCAGTGAGGGCATCAGCCCCTGGCTGGGGACCCTGTGCTAGAGCTGAGATCAGGTGTCCCCCATGGTTTCCAAATCCTCATGACCTGCTAGGGCCACAACCCTTCCCTCTAAGCTCTTCCCTTCAAGATATGCAGAGAACAGTCTGTGGCTTCTTTGAAGAAATTTCTCCCAGCATCCTGGAGCCCAGAGTCAGTTGTTCTGGAAGCCCTGGCCACCATCGGCACCGACATCCATGTTCTGCTTGGAACAGCCCGAGCCTGAGCCCAGCCCCAGCCCCAGCCCCAGCTCCAGCCCCAGCTTGTGTCCTCCAGGAGAGCTGTCTGGGATCCTGTAGGTCACTTGAGTATCACAGCTATCAGAGACCTCTCCATGTCAGCCTGGGCCATCCTGGGAGGTGAGGCTGGCGTGATGGTCCCAGTCACCTCCTGGGTCACACATGAGCCCGGTCCCACACATGGGAGCACTGCTTCACCTAGTGCAGCTCCCACTTGGCCAGTCCCTGGTAGGGACCCCACAGGCAGACAGGACAGTTGGTGGGCAGCTCCCCTTCCTTCCTTTCCCTCCTTTTTTATTGAAACCCTGTCACATTTCCTGTCCTGGCATCCCAGTGACTCTTGCCTGAGGGCGCTTTTCTGGATGCAAGCTCTCTTTGGAACGGTAGAACAATAATGAGCAGCTGAAATGCTCTGAGCAAGGACTAGAGGCATTCACACATGGTGCTCTCTCACCGACCCTGCAGGGCACACTGCTTTCTCAGCACCTTGCACACTCATGGTGCCCAAGGAATGTTTGTGCCCTGCTTATCCAGTGATGATGACTATTTTTAACCTTCAGGCAGTACCTGGAGAATTGTGATACCCACACCCTCACTCTGCTCAATTTCCATCCTGATCGGGGTGTTGAGTGGGTGCATCCTAGCCGAGGTAGGAAAGGTGATCAGTGTCCAGGGCCATGCCCGGTGGGCATGCTTCCCTTCCATACAGCTGGCTGGGAGCCATCACCATGCCGCTTAATGGGCCCACCAGGCTCACATGGTGTGGGAGTGACCTTCCCATGTCCACTTCCGGCTCCCAGCTGCCTTGCCCATGATATACCCCGCAGAGGCTGGCTGTGCACCCACACAGGGGCTTCTGTGCCTGAACTCACTTGATTGAGTCCCATTTCCCACACTCCCTGTGTTTTTGGTGGTACAGACATATGTTTATAATTCAGCCTGTCCTTATGCTATCTCAGCTTGTCTTCTGTGCCTTGCTTCCCTCCCAGTAACCCCGCGCCCCATTCCCTGTAGCAGGGGCCTCTCCTGAATGTCCTGTGCACCTTGGAGTCTGCCATGCAGCATAGGGAGAAGAGAATACATCTCTTCAAATGGTGAGATGCAGAGTTGCTTTTGGGAGGAAGAGCGGAGAGTTCCCAGAGACTTGGCTCTGCGGGCTCACATCTTCTCATGTTTCCCCTCTTTTTATAAGACCGAGGGCACAGGGAAAGGAAGCAAATGATGAGAGTGAAGAACCACAGTGACAGCGGTAGAAGATGCTCCCGAGCCTCCCCGAGAGCGAGGATCTTGAAGGTGAACACACTTTCCCATCAGTGCTTGACTTACCATTGCACTCACCCCGCCCCGAGCACAATTGTGCAGAGCGTGTTTGGTTAAATATGATCCTGTGCATTTGTACAACTGGAAGATATCTACCTCTCTCTGAACCCTAAAAGCTTATTTTCTCTAAATTACCAACATTATGAAGCTGGCTCCATCCTAAGAATTAAGTGCTGGGCTGAAGGCCAGATTGATTTTGGCTACAGCTGAACATTATTGTGCCAGGTCCACACCATGTCACAGGCACCTGCTCCCCTCTGCTCCTGAGAGGAGCCAGCCGCAGGCTTCGAGTCTGCAGGAAGAACTCTCCATGTCCAGCGAGCCCCACTGGGGTCCCAAGTCTCCAGACTGCCCCACCCAGAGTGTCCAAAGTACCCATGAGGCCAGCACTAGGATGGGCCCCACCTCTGCATGCTGCCCAGCAGCTTCCTAGTCACTCTGGCCTCTGGCATGGTCCTGTCTGGGCTCCCATGCCCCAGGTGTCTCTACCCTTAGCACAGACAGAACCCCACAGATGAAAAGTGCCCATTCATTTCTGTCACAAGGATGCATGTGCGGGGCAGGCCTGTGGACTCGAATGGGCATGGCCAAGCCATTATCCACTGCCTGGAAAGGCACACCCTGCCTCTGCTCATTCTGGTGTTCTAGGCTCCGGGTTGCCCATGTGCTGTGACACCCCTAGTCTGTGTGAGGGGTACTCTTGGTGAATATGCTTGGTGCACGCGGCCCTGGACTTCTGAGGGGCATGCTGGTGTCCAAGGTGGGTTTTAACCATGACTCAGAGGATGGGGTGCTGGCGTGGGGGGAGGGGAAGGCTGCTGAATATAGTGGGAACTTAGGTTTTACTTTGATCACTCCACACTCTCTAACTTCCATCTGGATGCTTAACACAGGGCCCCGGGAAAGGCAGTCTGGGCACAACAGTGCTCATCCAGAAAGCTGGGCACATAGCAGAAGGAGGACAAGCCCCGCGGTGACAGCAATCTGCTAACCACCACAGACCCCCACAGGCTCATCAGTGCATAGCACTCAGCCCCAGTCCTGCACTAAGCAGCTCTGGACACCCCAGGCAGGCCCTCTGCCCCCTGGTTCCCCAGCTGAGCCAGGGGCTCAGCGCTTCTCTGCCCTCATCGTGGTCCACCCTCTCTGAGCTTCCCCAGGACCCGGGGACCTGACAGTCTGCCTGTGGCTTGTTCTGCTGGAAGAACCCAGCCTGCCTTAGGGGCCCCACCTTCGAAGTGCTTTCTTTCCTAGAAGAGGATGCCACAGTAGGTGACCCCAAACCAGACCTGGGCTGTGAGGGAAGGCCTCCCTTCCCCCACTCAAAGAACTGTGGAGGGGAGAGGTCCGGAGAGGGCGCCAGATGGATTCCAGATGTGCTTTCTACGCTTGAGAATCACTTTCTCCACACATATTGGCTTGAAAAATAAACAAACTATGAAAAGGAAAAGAAAAAAAAATATTTCTTCAGTCTAGCCCCCCCGCCCCATAAAAGAAAGGCAGAGTAAGAACTCCCAGTGGGCGGAAACAGTGCACTGTATTCATAAAAGGCGCGCACATCCTCCCGTGCCGCCTCATCCTCCAGCCTGAATCAGAACACCGAATATTTGCCAACACGCAAACTTTCTTGGAAAGCAATACTGCTTCTTTTCTCTTTTCCTTTTTCACTCCCAAGAACTTAGAAAGGAAGTAATGAGTCGGCTCATTTTAAGTCTGTAGCAAAATTCCTTTGCTAATGAGTCTTTTCCCTTGCTCTGGTCCTCCTGGGTGACCTCACGCTGCCTTGAGAGAGGGTCACAGAAACACGGCTTCACACACACTGACCCAAGGGTCTGCACCCTGATCCCAGCCCCTGCGTGGAGCCCTTCGTGAAGCTGCCAGCGCTGCAGACGCCCTGGGGCAGGGCTGGCGTCCTCTCTGCTCCTCTCCAGAGTGTGGAGGTGCCTGTGAGCGGCTGCTTGCTAGGGACCTTTAGCAAACAAGGCTCAATGCTGTGGCAGATTCGGGCACAGTCCAGGGAACCCCGGATGTGGAGGCTGCGCCCTGGGAGATGGCCCCAAGCACCCACCCAGGAATGGCTTCCTGGGATTCCAGATGTGTCCATGGGTGGGAAACTGCATCTGGTGTTAGAGTCCGTTTTGCTCACTTTGCTTCCTAATCAATATCTACCCTCTACCCTGCTTGTTCTCAGTAAGAGCATAGGATGGATGTAATACCAAGATTTCTACAAAGAAATACAGGAGTGTGCAAAAAGGCTCCGAAAGACAGCTAGCGACACATACAAACAAGCGGTGCCCTTTCCAAGAAGGTGATCCGCAGTCCCAGGAGAAGGCTCAGTGACCTGCACCTTCTGGTTATGCCCTGGAGGAAGCTGCGCCAGGGGAGGGACCCTTGTCATCCGCACAAGGCCTGGCTAGGCTGGATGTCTGTGTTGTCTGCTTCCAGCACACGCAGCAGGGATGAACACTTCGGGCCACTATCGCCTGGCCACTTGTGCCTTACTTAGCCAGGAAGTCATAAAAGCTCCTCAAATGTGCTTTACAGCTGAATTGCTTCCAGCTACCGCGAAGACGCAAAGTGCTGAAATGCCATCCTAGTGGCTCTCCCTAAAAAGCTGGGAAACTCTGATGCCAGGGAAATGGATCAGAACCTTCCAGGCCACAGAGCATGGTACCCTCCCTGGAGCTCCCTGTGCCCATGGATGTCAGCACGGCTGGCTGACGAGGAAGACCCACCCACGGGTGCCTACTCACTGCTGAACAGTCTTCTCTCTGATTTGACCTAGCCGGTCTATCACCTTGTTAAATTGACACAACTTTGATTCCAGAAAAATGGAATGCAAAGAACAAAAAACAATGAAAGAGTGAGACAGGGAAGGGAGGAAGGAGGAAGAGTACGAGATTGAGCAAGAGAGGCCTTATATTTATGAGTATCTGTATTAAAAACAATAATGAAATATAGTATTTTCTGAAACATGGTAGAATTCCACTCAATTTATTGGCTTTTTTAAAAAAAGAGTCATATCTCTAAAGGCCTATGGGAAATCTCTTAATGCAATTCATTCAGCAGAAAATGCAGGGTAAAGGAATAATATGAAATAGCTCCGGAATTATGAAGCCAGATGTGAAGACACAGGTTTGGATAATCCATGGCACCTTCCCCAATAACAAGAACAGCTTGGATAAGGGGGGCCAGTAAAAAGGGGTGCACCACAAAGTAACCCTGAGTTTCTCCAGAGTATGACAAGCCGAAATTCTCAGTGTTTTTGTGATAAAGATATATACATACAGTATAGGTATTGAGGAAGATGAAAGGGACGTGGAAATAAACACAACTTGTGCTGAATTTTTCTAATGTTTGAGAAAAAGAAAGAGGAAAACCCCTGAATTATGACAAATCAGGTCATTAGGCCAATATATTAAATTTCTTCTACAGGAAATGAAAATGTTTACTATCCAAATATGGTAGAAAATTAGGAAACTCCTTTTAAAAAAATCCACAAAGTAAGGAGGAAGAGTGGCATTTAAGATGGAAGTTGGTGGTGACTTCACTCCCTCTGTGTCTCACAGGCAGGTGCCTAAGACCTGGCTTTGCAGGTTAGATTGCTGGCATCAGGGATTAGGAGTGACTTAGACTCTGTGTGAATGTTTGCTGGTTTACTGACTGAAAAAAGTGGCATTCTTCTATGGCAACAAAATTATGCATTCTAGCATTGAGTGCTGCATCCATTAAAAAAACTTCAGGTTTGGATACTTCTAGGATTCCTCAGCATAAAGCATTCACCCACCGCCACCACCACCTGCACAAATTCAGCCCTAGCCACAGCTACCCTTGTTATTCATTTCCTTCCCCCTTTCCCACTCTCTAGGAATTAGCTTTCTTAATTTTGCCTGCAAGATTTTCATCTCTGAAGAAAATACTGAAAAGGCAAATTTTGCAAACATGACTTTATACAACACCTGAGACTTCTGATATCCAGATCTTAGACAAAGTTCTGGACATCTTAGAGCTCTGGCTACAGGAGGGGACCAGGCACACAGCAGCAGAGACCTGTCCATGCGGCTACCCTCCTTACTGTACTGCTCAGAACCAAGTATGTCTCTTTAAAAATCCAACCAGACATCTCTTTCTTACAACTAAATATAAAATACCGCAAAGAAATAGCCATTGGGAGTTCCCAAGCTAGAAAGAGAGACAGACAGAGACGCCCTGTAGAGCAGGGCAGTAAAAGGGTGTAGGGCCCCTCTTAGGCGGTAGCTTAATTAAGAGCACCCAACTTCCCATGGGAACCTTACTTTCTGCACCTTGGGGACCTTTGTCTCCCTGCTCCCATGCTGACGGGCTGTAACTGCCTTTTTGGAGACATTTTTGGAATTTTATGGGTAATGTTACCTAAAAGAATGAGAGACCACAACCCACCCACCCTCAGCCGCCACCCCCGGCACTGGTCCCCCGAGGGCACCTGACTTTCTAACTGTCCCAGGAAAACCACTAGAGGAACTGCTCGTGAAGGCTCCCAGCCCCAGCCCTGGCAGGGGTCAGCGCCCCAGGGGGCCAGGTCGCTCACCTCGGTCCGCAGAGAGCACCGGGGCGCCGGCATCCTGGGGCTCCGACCAGGTCTCGGACTTGCGGTGCCGCTGGGGCGCAGGTCTCCGTCCGGCTCGGCCGGGCCGTGGGGCACGCCGGGTCCTTATCGCGCGTCCCCCACCGGCTGGCTCAGCTCTGTCCCGGAGGAGCCGCAGCGCAAACTTTTGCTCTAGCCCGCGGGGGCGGGGCTCCGAGCGGCCCCCAGGCCCCGCCCAGCCCGCCACCTCCCCGCCTACCTCTCGTGCCCCGCCCTTTTCCAGACTGTTGTCCCACCCACGCCCTCGACCCCCGCCCCATGCCCACCCATATCCCCGCCCACCGCTCATGGTCCCGCCCCTTGACAGCCGTAGCCACGCCCACGCCCCGAAACGCCACGCCCATTATCCCCCAGGACCACTGCTCCGCCACCTGCCCGGTCCGCGCTCTGCGCAGGATTCGCCCTTTTGTGTGGATTGTGGCCTCAGCTGCTGAATGCAGACACAGTCCTAGCAGCTTTGTGAAGAGGAGGTGGTGGAAAAAGAGATCAGAGGAAGAAGAGGAAAATGACAGACAGGAACCCTGCGACCCACAGCCAGGCTGCCAGATCCTGGCAGGCAACCCGGGGCCCCGCAGAGGCGTGGAGAACAGGTCTGAGTTTCCTCCTCCTTCGCCCTCCTGCCCCCACGCCCACGCCTCACCTGCCAGGGCCCAGCAGGTGCTGTTTGGGGGCGCACTTGCCGCATTGCACAAAAACTGGTGCACTTCTGCAGGCCTCCGCCTCCCTTTTTGTTCGCTGACAAGGAAAGCAAGCCCTCAGGCTTGAGTGAGTCCTGCTCAGCCAGAGCAGCTGCAGGGCTGTGCAACTTCCCCAGTGACTCAGGGGCGCTGTGGACGCCTAGGCCGGAGACACACCCCCTCGGCCGAACAAACTAGAGCACCAAGTCACGACAAGGACCGCAGAGACCCGTGCTGCTCTGCCTGCTTCCTATGGCCAGGGTCCGGGTCCCGGCCACCGTGTCCTCACCTTACCAGCATGGTCAGTTGGTTCATCGACTCCGTCACGGTTGCCGCTGCCCACTCCATACACGCACGTTTGGGCTGAAGTCTGTTTTGGTGGGGAGCCTCAGCTCCGTTCTTAGAGAAAGCCTGCGACCTAATACAACACCAGGACGTGACTCCTGCTAATGCCACAAAGGGGTGCCCACAAACTGGCTTGGGAAACACTGAGAACAAGCGGGGTTCCTTACTCTGCCCGGATGGTTTCCCTGAGAGACACGAGGTCTGGCCTGTGGCATGCCCTGAGGGTGACCCTCTTTTAATGAGGCTTCTTCCTCCCCCACACCCCGGAAGATTCCTGCCACACAAGCTCTGTGCCCCCACAGGCCTGCCGCTCACCTGGTACCCCAGCCCTGTCTGCTCTCCCCTGTCCCTAGACAGCCAGTGCTCTGTGTCCCTCTAGAACCGGCAGGGACAGACTTCCCTCACCCCTTCTCTAGGGAGAACTGGCCATTCCTTCAATCCCACTGAGTAGTCTCCCTTTCTCCATCCCTGGTTCATGAGAAAAAGCAGCTTAGCACAGTGGTGCCTGTTGAGCAGGAATTGCAAAGTCCCCCTTCTGCAGCCCTCAGTGACATAACCGACCAGGGTGTATCAGCAGGTGAAAATGTGGGAGCACTGGTAACCACCCAGTGTCAGGTGGAAGGGGCAAAGCCCTTTGCTTTCCAGGGAGCGCTGGTGGGTATGATGGTCGGTTTTGTCAACTGGTCTTCGTCAGAGGGGCCCAGATGTTCCGTCAAGCTTTCTACTGAAAATGCCGTGAGGCTGCTTTTAGATGAGCTAAAAACTGGGGTCCATAGCCTGAGCAAAGCTCACAGTCCTTTCCAGTGGGTGGACTTCACTGGATCAGCTGAAGGCCTGCATGGGCCGTTTTTGAAGGGAACAGGCCAATCTGACCATCTTCAGACTGGAACCTTCAGGCTGCTTCTACAGCAGCATAGCATAGCTTCAGGCCAGTGCTGAGACACCTGCTCTACAGGGTGTGTGTCTATTTCCAATCTCGCATAGTAACTGTGTGTATCTCCTTGATTCTGTTTCTCTCTGGAACCCTGATTGATGGCACGATGATCCTGGGGGAAGGGCAGCCCTTTTCACAGAGTAACTGTGGCAGCGATGAGCCTTGAGAAGTCTTGGGGACTTGGGTCTTGTGGTCACTCATCTGCAACTTGACAGACAACTCTAAGCCACTTCCTCTCTGCTGGCTTGCTCTACACAGGACTTGGGAGAGATAGCTTTAACATACTAATCTAGCTTTACAGAACAAAACTTGGCTTTCTGTGTAATAACCTTGTCTGGACCCAAAGGAAGCCTTTGACCTAGTGTCAGAGTCCTTTAAAGAAGAGTGTCATTGATGACAGAGATGTGTACCAAAGCAGAGAGACCACATCACCTTGTTCCCTACATCACATGCCTACTCCGTCCCACTTCAAGGTTAGCCAGGGGCTATCAAAAGTTCTAAGAATTGTTCTTTGCATGTTTTATATACATGCAAAGATATTGGAAACAATATTCAGAAATATGGTTAATGGCTGGCAGGTGTTTGTGTGAGTGGTGTGAATGTATGTGTGGTGTGTGTGATGTGTTTATGAGTGGTGTGTGTATATGCATGGTATATGTGGTATGTGGCATGTGTGTTTGTATGTGACATATAAGTGTGGGATGTGGAATGTGATGTATGTGTGCAGAATGCACTGTAGGTGTGTCTGGTGTGCACTGTGTGGTGTGCGTGTGCTGCAGAGGGCGGGACTGTATCTGGCCCTTCCAGGGGGATGCACACGAGGACCTGAGGGCTCATAAGAAATGAGTATCTGGCCCCTGGGCTTCCTGGGCTGGGGCTCCTGAGGTCCTGGATCTGATCCCCTGTGCACAGGACACACTCTGGGGCCCCTATTAGCTTCAGAATAGGGGCTTTCACCAGAGAAACGCAGGGTGGGGCTAGAGTTGGAACTGTGAGCCCCACCCCACCACCCAGAGTGGGGAGGGACTGGTCTCCAGTGATGTCATCGCCCACACCAGCTTCAGGCGGCTCCAGGAAAGCCCCTGTCGTGTTGGGAGAGCCGTGGGTGGGTGAGAACGCAGAGGTGCCTGGGTCACTGTGGGAGACTTGCACCACTCTCCTGTACCTCCCACCGTGCTTCTCTACACCGGGCTGTTCCAGAGTCACCTCCTTTGTCATCAGCTATTACTTCAATCAGTAAAAGTTCTCGAATTCTGTGACTCTGTTCAGGCAAACTGCTGAACTTCGAGGGCGGGAATTCATGGCTGGATCAGGGGCTCCCTGGGCAGATACCGCCTTCAGGGACAGTGTGTCGGCTGACCATTGAGTTGTGGGATCCTTGCTAATTCCAGGTAGTGAGTCAGGATCGAGTTGAGCCGCAGGCCATCCACGTGGCATTGGAGAACAGGAGAAAGGGTAGGTGTTGCAATGACGCACTTGTTATTGGGAACGAAAACCAGAACCTAACTTGGAAGACCCAGAGGGTGTCCCCCAGTCCCAGGGTTTGCTCCCAAAGGCAGGGAGCTCCACTAAAGAACCCACACAGCCAGGGGAGGAGGCCGCGTCGCAGGAATCATGTCTCAGCACACTTTCTCTCTTCTGTCTCCCCCCCCCCCAGGCCCACCTCCCCTTCTTGCTGTCTACCGCCCTGCAGCAGCTCCACTGGCTCAGTCCTCCCAAAGCCTAGTGGGCACTGGCACAGCACCACACCCGAAAATTCTCCCAGGCTCTGTGCTTTGGTGACTTTTCAGTTCCTCTCAGGCTCTTGGTCTTGTGTGCCTTTGTTGTACACTTTGAATGGTGAACTGTTCGGTATGAGTTACATTTCATTACAATTGCTAAAAATTATTCTACAGGTCTATAAAGGAGAATTCTGGAAGATTGAGTACATTTGGGGAACTAGATTTAAGTGGCGTGGGTAGGGTGACTTTTTACTTTATTCCTTGGCTTATGATGTGGGTCAGGGTTAGATGTTATCTTTATTTAAAGGAAGGTCATTTGAAGAGGCTGTCTCGCAATGACAAACACACACCGCAGCGCTGAGGGCAGGGCTGTTTTGACGCGAAGGTTTGCACTGCAGTCTTCACAGCGGAGCCTTCTCTATTCCTGCCTGCACTGTGCTTATTCCTGTCTTTTCGCCCAGCAGGTCTGCTCCATGCACAGCTCTGTTCAGTGGCTGTGCAGGGACTGAAGACCAGGGTGGTACAGGTAGAGTGACTGATCCTAGATTGACTCTCGCTCTGCTGCAGGCTCCCCTCCAAGTTCCTGGTAGTCACTGACTGTCCAGGGAGCCTGGTCAGGCTGAATGCTGGGCAGCTGCAGGTGGAGGGGTGCCCCAGGGGCTATATCAAAGCCAGGCAGTCTTCAAAGGTCAGTGGCCACAGCCTGAGCTGTTTCCCTACCTCTCCCTATGTTCTGCTAGGCACAGTGGGGACACAGGAGAGGACAGCAGCAGAGAGAGGGGCTGAGGCCTCTTGTGCTCTCCTGCTGGCTTTCTGCTTGTCCTGCTGCCCTCTCCTCTTTCCTGTCCTGGCTACATGGTACCCAGAAAGCACTGGGGTTACGGCTACATGCAACAGCACAACCTAGGTGAGACATGCAAACCTATACCAGGCCCACGGACTTCTGGGGACCCTGAGTATATTAAGAGTTTTAATATCCAAAAGGTAAATTCAGCCAGTGCCAGCTGTCATGTAGGTGAAATCTTTATTACTCTTACCCTGAGGACAGGATGGGAATTAAACATCCCTTGGACAAATGGTCATTCTGTTCTTTTGCAAGCGTCATGTGGCAGGATGAAATAGTTTCCCACCATCTCAAAGTGAGAGGAAATCACCTCTAAAGAATGCACATCAGGCAGAAAGTTTAATTAAAAACAAAATAGCACAGCAGTGTGTCTCAGCACATCCACCAGCGCTCTATCATCTGAACTGTGACACTTTATTGTAAAGATTATCTCTAAAAAGAAAGACATAATAGGACATATGAGCAGGGTTTGCTCTTTCCTGTTACTTCATTAATGTGTATTAGCTGTACATAATCATAGAGTCCAGAGCAGTATTTCCACGCATAACACAGGCACTCTCTCCTGTCCTTAGTAAGCACTTTCTCCTTTCAGGTTGACTGTGTGGTTTCCAAATATGACACAGAACACACAGCACTTGTGTATGTTCGCTTTGTTTTCACCGGACACTCCCGCCAGCTCTGTCCATCTGGTTGCAAACGACAGGAGCTCACCCTTCCTTGGCGGCTGAGTGCCATGTCACGGTGCACGGGTGCCGCGTCGTCCTTACCCATTCACCGGACTCTGGGCTCCCGCGGCTGACTGCGGATCTTAGTTGCTGGGAACACTGCTGCAACAGACGAGGCCAGGCAAGCGTCCTTTTGGTGTGTCAGCTCACCTCCTTTGGGTGTACATCTGGGAAAGCCCAATCCCATGCTACTTCTATTTTTAGCTTTTTGAAGAGCCTCCATACTGTTCTCTATCATGGGAGTGCCAACTCCCACTCCCACTCACACTGCCCAACACTTCCTTTTCCTTCCATATCCTTACAGCACATATAAGGTTTTACTATGAACTGTCAGCATGCTGGAGATAATAGATATATATGTAAATTCCATCTTGACAGGTATGTTATGGTAATTCACTGTACTTTCGGTTTGCGTTTCCCTGACGGTCAATGATACTGAGGATTTGTTCTATATTTTTTAGCATGGGGAAGCACTTTTGGACAGGACCCCGCGGATCGGTCCAAACACGTGGAAACTCCCGGGGGAGAGGCCCGAGGAGCGAAGGCACCCTCACTCCCAAACCCCCATCACATCCCCGCCCCCGCGCCTGCTGTGGCCCCCACCCCCGCCGCCCCAGCCTCGGGTGGGCAGGAGGACCGCGGAGCTGTGGCTTTGCAGCGAGGAAAGCAGGCGGGAAGGGGAAGTGCTGCCCACACCGCCCCTGGGCCGGCACCCAGCTTCCCCGGGGCGGCCGTTGGCCCCGCGGCGGTGGACAGAGCAGCGGGCTGAAGACCTGCATCCTGGCGGGTGGGCGTCGTTATCCGCGCGGCCGCCTAGGCGGGCCCAGGTCGGAGGGCTCGCTCACCGCGGTGTTGCAGGGCTTATAGTGGGCGGGGCCCGGGGTTTTCAGAGCCAAGGTTTTTAGAGACAGCGGGAGCGCAGGGCAGTGACCGCGCTCCGCCTGTAGGAGGCGCAGGCCGCGGTGCGCATGCGTTCATATTTCCGCCAGGTCTGCTCGGGAAAGGCAGGACACACAGGTGCGATGTGCGCATGCGTTCATCTTTCCACAACCCGCTCAGGAAAGCTGCCCACTGGGCGGCAGCGCCCGGCTCTCCCCTGGCTTCGGCGGACCCTAACTTACACTGCAGGTTTGATTGGGCGTGGAGGGCTTACGAGGAAGCGTGCATCGGCATCCTGCAAACACGCCAAGCTTCCTATCAAATTAATCAAAAACTTACCCGTCTCCTTGGATGCACACCTGGGAAATCTGGCTTATCGGCCTCTTTGGCAGCGCGCGGCCCAGCGCAGCAAAAACGCGAGCTCCTCACCAGACAGCAGGCACGGTGTTTTCTGGCCGTGCCCACTGGGTCTCTGACCAAGTGTCTGTAGCGTTTCTGCATTGCTTTGCTTTTGCTCGGCTACCAAATGGTTTCCTTGGGAGTGGGGGCCGAGAGAGGGTGGAGGTGGAAGCGCATAGCAGCTGCCCGTTTCTTCATTTCTTCCAACATCAGAGGCTACTGATGGCAAGAAGAGTGCCTGAAGTTTTGGTGGGGCGTTAAGAGCACTTAGCAGCAAATGGTGATCTGGTGCTCAAGCCTCACCACTATTCCAGGAGCTTTATAAACCAGGCCTGGCTCCTCAGCACAACCCCAGGAGAGCCACGCCAATGCTGGCCCAGTCTTCGGAGGCAGAGCTGTGGTCTGACCCTGGCTCCCTAAAGCTCCGCTGAGTGCTTTGTTCCTTAGAAGTTTGTTGCTCTGGTTGAAGGCTTTGGAAGTCCAAGCCACTTTGGAAGAGGCAGGCTGACCTTACTGCACAGGTGACTGATGACTAGGGAAAGGGGGGGGGGGCAGAGGGGAAGGCAGGAGCTCATGGTAGACCCTCGACCTGCCACTCTTTCAGTACTGGGTCACTTTGGGCAGATCTGGGGAGAGCAGAATGGAAGCCGCAGGATTCTTTTCAGAAGGCCCTGTAGCCAAGGGTCATCGGTGCAGTGCGGACAGCAGTGTTGCTTGTTGTGTCCTCACGCTGGTTTAACACGGCAATGGTTTTAGTCTCTGTGGATCCGTGGCCTCCTCTGGGGAGTGCTGCCCGCTCACACCACCAGGAACACCCTCGACATCGTACAGGATACATGCACTGGAGAAGGCTTTCCTTCCATGTTAGCTGAAGCAAAGTTGTGCAGCAGACACCGTACTTCTTGATTTAAAAAAATAAAAAATTTTTTTAATTTAAGAAGCTGAAGTGAGCCGAGGATTTAGCTCAGTGGCATAAGCACCTCCCTGGCAACCGCGAGGTTGTGAGTTTGAGTCCCGGTACAAAAAAAAAAAAAAAGCTGAAATAAACACAGAAGCCTCAAATCAATAATCTAAGCTCTCACTTCTAGGAGAAATCTAAGTAGTAACATAAGTAGAAAAAGAAGAACAAAATAAAGCAAGCAAAAAAGATGCAATAAAAGAAAAATTACTGAAATTAAAGCAGGAAAAAAGATCACTGGAATAAAATACCTTGAAAAGATGGATAAATTGGCAAAATTCTAGCAAAATGGAGGGTGGAGGTCACTAATATCAAGAATGAAGAATGAGACTGTATCACTGCCCGCCCTGCAGGCCTGGAGAGGAGGCTGGCTGTAAGAGGCTGAGCACAGCACTGCTCACATATATTTGAAAATTTAGATGAAATGGATCAGTTCATTGAAAAACAAAAACTACCACATTTCTCCTAAAATGCTATAAGCAAACTGAAAATGCCTTGTAACTATTAAGGAAATGGAATTAATAATTTATAAATTCTCTAAAAGATAAGTAAAAAAGAAATCTCAAGACCTAGAATATTTCACAAAAAGTAGTACCAAATATATAATTAACCTCAATTCTATAACTCATTTCACAAGACTGAAGAGATGGATACATTTCCTAATGCTTTCTTTCCTCCCATCCCTTCTGTACTGAAGATTGAATTGAGTCTTCACAGTAAGCTACATTATCAGTCCTTTTTTATATTTAGATAAGGTCTTTCTCTGTCCTCCTGCCTCAGCCTCCTGCAATGCTAGAAATATACCAAAACTACAGAAATACAGCACACATGCACACACATACAAGCAGATTACAGACCAATATCCCTCATAAGTATAGACATAAATATTAAGAAAGTTTTAGCTAACAGAATCCAATAATATATAACAATATCTATATACCTTATGACCAAGTTTTATTCTAGAAATGAAAAACTGGCCTAATACATTTTAAAAACTCAAGCGATATAGTAAACAACATTAGTGAGTTAAGAAAATCACAGAATTATATCAGGTTATACAGAAAAAGCACTTAAAAATTCCAAAATCTGCTTCTCAGCTTAATAAAGAATACTGCAAAAATCCAACATATGACATTGTACTTCATGGTGAGAGCCCGAATGTGCTCTTGTAAGATCTGGACAAAAGATAAACATGTCTTCTGTCACAGTACTGGAAGTTTTAATAGCCAATCAAGGAAAGAAAAGAAAATGAAAGATATATTAACCTGGAAAGAAGAAATGAAATGACTCTTATTTATGGATGATATGATGGTGATAATCCACAAAGAAAGTGTCAGGGTACCCACAAAAAGACAAAACACAGTACTGCTAGAACTAATAAATAAGGTTTCAGGATACAAGGTCAACATATAAAAAACATTTGGATTTCTACATACTAGCAATGAATATTGAAATTTAAAATATGATATTTCTTCTAATCACTTTAAAAAGGCTGTAAATCTAACAAAGGCCTACATGTGGTACATATACTGAAGAGTGCAGGGCTGAAAGGAAAAATGTAAGATCTGAATAAGCAGAGAAGCATACCATGCTCATGGATTGGAGGATTCAGTACAATACAGGGATTCTTTCAAACTCATACAAAGGTTAATGACAGTTCCTGTCAAAATTTCAACAAGATTCTTTTATAGAAATGGAAAATATTATTCTGAAATCTGTATGGGAAAGCAAAGGAAGCAGAATAGCCTAAAATAATTCTGAAAATGAATAATAAAATGAGAAGAATAAGATTTCAGCACTTACCATATTGCTACATTAATCAAGGCTCTATGATATCAGCAGAAAGAGATGCACACGAACCCCTGGAGCAGAATAAAGAACCCAGAAAAAGCCCCTACAGCTGGGCTTAGTGGGTTTGGACAAGTTTCACACTGCTGGATTTCTTTTGAGTATTAAACCATCCTTCCCTGCCTGGACTAAACCCAAACTGGCCATGATGTATGCGTATTTTTATGTAACTCTGAGTTGTATTGATTGATAGTTTATGAGTACTTGTGTTTACAGTTAGGAATATTGTTCTGTAGTCCTCTTTTGTACGATAAGAGCAGCTCAACCAAAGAGTGATCCAGCAGTGCTGGAGCAGCTTTACCTTGGTAATCCTGACACATACATAAAAAATAACTCTGAGCAGATCATGAATCTAAATATAAACTATAAAACTTTTGCTCTTTCCCTAGGTTTGTAGCAAAAGCTTGTTATGGCCTTGTTTGTATTTTCATGTGTATGATCTCATTACAGCTGTGGCCCACGTTGTATTTGAATTGTTTAGGCTTTTAATTTTTTATGTTGCATTTTGAAATATACACTCTAGATATGAGCCCTCTGGTAGATCTGTGGTTTGCAAATATTTTCTTCTGGTCTCCAGCTCGTCTCTTCACTTTAAAAAAAAATTTTTTTTTGTTGTTTTTGCTTTGTTTTGTTTTTGCTGGCCAAAAATTTCCATTTTGATGAAGTTCAGCTGCTCAATAATTTTCTCTGATGGGTCACATCTTAATGTCACATTAATCACTTGTCATCAGCCCTAGGTTCTAAAGCCAGCCCAGTAACTGCACTCTTGTATCTCAGTGGAATTAAAATTAAACCTGTCCCTGTGGAACGGTGTGGAATGTCCACAAAGGTCTTCTACCCCAAGATCATGACGGCTTTGCCTGCCATAGTCCCAAACTGGAAACAACCCAAACATTGTCAGTGGGTGCCTCGTTAAGCAGATGTGGCACGTCAAGCATGGAGCATGGCCTGGGTGGATCTCACAGACGCTATGCTGAGTGAAAATGCCACTCACTAAAGACCACATAGTGCATTTGGTGTGGGGCTGTACTGGGTTTGTACTATCTACTCTCCACTTTCTAAGACAGCATCTCTTAAATCACTGAGTTGTGCAGATTGGACTTGCACTTGAGGTCTCCCACCTCCCCCTCCCAGAGTGCACTGCCACACTGTGTGATCTGTTTTATATCCTAAATGGAAGTGAAGAGCAGAATAGTGGTCCAGGGGCCTGGAGGGGGCAGTGGTGAGAGGGAGTTGGTGTGACACAAAGGGTTAATGAGGAAGACCACTGTAGACACAGGGTGGTTCTGTTCTGTGCCTTGACTACAGAAGTAGTGATATGAATCCACATGTAATAAATGCCATGGAAAATATAGATATGCGTGCCTGTGAGTGCACACACACACACAGACACACATGGTCTACTGCCTGGTTTTGATGCTGTACTTACTAAAGTTATGTGAGCTGTGACCATCGGGGTGATGGGGCCAAAGGAGCTGAGTTTTCTTCTGCATAGTCCATTGTGCTATCATTATTCTTGTGAATTCATAATTATCTCAAAACAGAAAGTTAACACTTGAAATAATTACAAATCAGAAATCCCGCCCCCCCCCAAGGGTTTTACAAGCAAGTTCCCTCTGATCCACTGGCAGCTTGAAGGGACAGTGTGTTCTAATGACCATGTAAAAATACTGGGGTGTGGACCCCCACACACATGCTGAGAAAGTGTCCAGCTACTCTTTCTCATGGGGCAGTGGCGGGCAAAAAGCCTCATAGAGCAATCCCATGGACTTGGCTCCCCGTGGCTGTGCTCTGGCTCTTGTGGTCCCAATGAGGAATGTTTTTCCCCTAAATAACCTCTTCCCAGACAGTGCAGAAAAGCTCAGAGAGTTGAAATCCTTGAGCCAGCAGCTCCTAGGCTGGCAGGGTCATTGGAGAGCTGGAGGAAAGCCCTGCAGCTGCAGGCTCTCCGTGCCCAGAGAGAAGCACTCAGGGCTGGGGTGGCCTGGCCACTTCCGCTCCAAGCAACAAGCCTGGCTTCTGTGGTTCAGGCTTGCTGGTTCTCAAGTTGCCTCTGATTCTGCCTCTTAGGTAACTGCCTAGTTCCCAGGTGGCCTATTTGTTTTGCCTGGTTTGTCTGCTTGTCACCCCCCCCCCCTTGGTTAGCCTGAGCATCTAAATTTAAAATCTAGGGTTCCGCAGGACCCCTCATTTCCCTACCTCTTACGTTTGTCTTCCAGTGCCTGTGTGTGACCTGGCAGTGTATGAAGCCCTAGTCTATTCCTCGATTCCCCCCTTTACTCCAAGAATTGGAGGTAGTTGGTTGTAGCATCAGGGAATTTTTTTTTTTTTTTTTAATCATTGGAGCTGATTCCCAC